TTTAAAACAAACATTAAAAAAACAGGAACGTGACGGGAACTGTCCAAATACAAAAAGAGTTAGAAACAGAAAAACAAATAGCTAAGCTTATTTAAGGATTAATATAATATTCAAGAGGTTGCAAGACTGCAGTAAATCAACCATTCAAACATTATGAACCTTGTGATTTTGTGGTCAGTCAAACAAAAAGGGGTACCCCGGGTAAATTGTCATTTTTGTGGAAATTGGTGTCAGCTCTTGGCAAATCCCAGAAATAGCACAAATTTTTAAAACAGAGAAGTGTTTTTGGGGGAGCCCAAAAAAGGAAAATCGTGGACTAAAACACAAGGGGATTAAAAGAGGATAACATCAAAACTGCTTTCATAAAAACCGAACTTTCTACAACAATGGGAACATAAAAAGCCCGGGCTAATGTACTGCCCTTGATACTGGGCCCTGTATCACAAACGTAAAAGGGTGGAGGTGATGTCCTGGGATAGTAAAAGTGGGGCTGATAGGGTGTCCTGGGGACAGTAATTTTTGAACTGGAGGTGCTGTCCTGGGGGACAGAAAAGGTGAAGTTGGGGATAAGTCCTGGAGACTAATGGGGAAACTGGAGATTTTGTCCAGGGAGTCGGGAAAATACGCAGGGGAAAAGGGAAAACAAAAATGACCCCAAGAGGACAGACCATATAGGGAAACAATGTAGTCAAAGATAAGATAAAACCAATATTTCAAAACCCGAAATACCCCAGGGAAAAAAACAAACAAAGGACTCCAATACAATAGTGAGGAAAATTACCAAAAACAACGGGGGGAGCTCCCTTGTTTTGGGGCTAAGGAGGATAGAATGACAGGGGAAAAAAAGCCCCAAAAGGGGAATACAGTCACAGAAACCCAAGGCAAACGGAAACCAAAGCCTGTCACATACTATGCACTTGGTAATCGCTGGCATGGGAAATTTGGAAAAACGGGGGGACATGCAACTATGACCAAAACCCTAAAAATGTCCGCCCATATGAAAACAGGAAAATGAAAAACCCCCTTCCTGTAAGCTTTTTTCACCCTGAAATGTGTACCCTTCAGTACAGGAAAGACTGTGCTAAATTAAAAATTAGGCATACCTTTAAAAGGGGACAAAAAGAAAAAAACACCCCCAGGCCATGGGAAAACCGGGTACCACGCCCTCAAGAGGGAGGGGTTTTTTTTAGTGCCAGGGGGAAAAAAAAAACTGGCGGGGAAATGGCAAAATCGTACACCAAACCCCGTCTTTCCTGGAGTGGAACCACAGTCGTGGCCTCCACTCCAAACCAACAGATACAGATACTAATCCCGGGAAAAAAAATCCCCCCCCAGTACCAACAATACCACCAGTCCCGATACATTCTCTTTGCAAATATACAGGGTCTAAAGCCAGCAATAAACAACAAAAATACCTTTCATCCGTGGACTGCTTGCAGAGGCAAAGGCAATGTTCGGGGCTTTCACTGAGACCCACATAAAGGATCACTTGGACAACGAAATATGGATCCCCAGGTTACAACCTTTTACAGATTGACAGAGTGAACAGGCAAAAGGGGGGGGTTGGCCTGTACATTGCAGAGTCACTTGTTTGCACAGAACTGCTTAATGCCTCAAATGACGTAGTGGAAGTTTTAGCAGTAAAGGTCGAGAACCAAAACCTAGTCATTGTGGTAGTCTACAAGCCCCCGGGAAATGCAACATCCCAGCAATTCCAGGAACAGCTGTTAAAATTGACCACTGTCTGGAAAATCTTCCAGCTCCTGCACCCAACATCTTGCTCCTGGGGGATTTCAACTTAAGCACCTAAAATGGAGGAATATAGCAAATAATATTGTTGCAGTAAAAAACACCAGAGCAGCTCTGATGAAAACTCACACTCACACGAGCTTTTAAATCTCTGACAAAATTCAATTTTTAAAACCCGCAAATAATAGAGCCTTCTAGACTGGAGAATACACTAGACCTCATCTTCACTACAGATATCTGATAAAATGTCACCCTATCAAAAACAATAACTAATCACAACAAATTGAGGTTCAGACATGTATGCTGGGCCCCCGACGACAAAATAGATATCACAGGGAGCATTCACCAAATTTAACTTCAAAAACAAAAAATAAAGGGGACCAAATAAACCAAGTCCTAACCCCATTAAGCTGGGGGAAAATAACAAAACACAGACCCAAACTTTTCCCGAACAGATTTTAAATCGGGGGCACTCGATGTAAGCACAATCTATCCTCTAAAAAAAGGGGAGTAGATTAAAAAAGAAAGAACAGGGGGCTCCCTTTTTAGGCGACGGGAAAAAAATAACAGGCGGCTAAAAAGGGCAATATATCAGAAAAGGCCCGGAGCACGGTCAAGAAATCAAGCTCGAACTTTAAACTAAAAGAATCTTTAGAGTCAGGAATCGCGGGGAAAAACTAAAACCTAAATAAAATCGAAAAAAACCCAAAGTATTTCTTCTCCTACCAAAAACAAAAACGAGAAAAACGTCCGATTGGGCCCCTACTTTTAAAAAAGATGGGTCCTACACAGAGGACGCAAAGGAAATGAGTGAGCTACCAAGTCCCAAAATATCAGTTTTTAGCAAACCGCTAACCAACGAGATCGAAGATCAAAAATGAATTTTTTATGGGGAGCCACAAAATTTTATTAACAAAGCCTATCCGTGTTATCCGACGCCAAATACTTGAACAGGCGAAAAAGACATGCCCATGCACTCTGCCCCAGGGGCCCGACTCATGGGAAATCGTGTTCTCAAAAACTGCAAAAACCCCTATCACGAGCCTTTTCCACCTAGGAGGGAGCAGGACACGGGGGTCGTCCCCAGTTTTTTAAAAAACAACAGACATAGCCCCACTCCACAAAGGGGGAGTAAAGCAACGCAAAAATACAGACCAATAGCACAACATCCCCCAAACATAAAAATCTTTTTAAAGGGTCCAAGAAGCAAGATCACCCCCCCATTAGAAACCCCTCAGTTACACAACCCAGGGGAAAATGGGTTTAGAACAGGGGCGCTCCTGTCTTCTCAACTACTGGGTCATCTACGACAAAGGCCTAAAAAGCACTAGAAGACAAAAAAATGCAGATGTAAATATACAGACTTTGCAAAAGCCTTCGACAAGTGGACCAGGCGTAAAAAGGCACAAAATGCGCGCTAAAGGAATAACAGGGAAAAAATTTTGGGCGATGGGTCTATAATTTTTCCCCACTAACAGAACACAGAGAGTAGGGCGCAACAGAGTAAAGTCCGAGGGAGCTACGGTGAAAACTCTGTTCCACAAGGCACAGACAGCCCCATCTTGTTTCCCATCCTCATATCCGACATAGCAAGGGTGCAGCCACAGCACCGTTCTTCCTTTGCAATGAAAAACCCAATCTGCATGACATGCTTCCCTTGCAACACTCAAGGCCCAGGCGACATCAACCAAATTTTCAGTGGGCTCGAAAACAATAGAAGTTCAACGTGAGAAATTTCAATTACTCAGATAGTAAACAGAGGAAATTAAATCTTCATCAAGTACAAAACAAATTTTGGCCACAAAATAGAGCGAAACACCAACGTCAAAGACCTGGGAGTGATTATGTCGGAGGATCTCACCTTCAAGGACCATAACATTGTATCAATCGCATCTGCTAGAAAAATGACAGATGGATAATGAGAACCTTCAAAACTAGGGAGGCCAAGCCCATGATGACACTCTTCAGGTCACTTGTTCTATCTAGGCTGGAATATTGCTGCACTCTAACAGCACCTTTCAAGGCAGGTGAAATTGCCGACCTAGAAAATGTACAGAGAACTTTCACGGCGCGCATAACGGAGATAAAACACCTCAATTACTGGGAGCGCTTGAGTTTCTAAACCTGTATTCCTGGAACGCAGAGGAGAGATACATGATTAAATACACCTGGAAAATCCTAGAGGGACTAGTACCGAACTTGCACACGAAAATCACTCACTACGAAAGCAAAAGACTTGGCAGACGATGCACCATCCCCCCAATGAAAAGCAGGGGTGTCACTAGCACGTTAAAGACCATACAATAATTGTCAGGGGACCGAGACTGTTCAACTGCCTCCACACACATAAGGGGGATTACCAACAGACCCCTGGCAGTCTTCAAGCTGGCACTGGACAAGCACCTAAAGTCAGTTCCTGATCAGCCGGGCTGTGGCTCGTACGTTGGTTTGCGTGCAGCCAGCAGCAACAGCCTGGTTGATCAGGCGCTGATCCACCAGGAGGCCTGGTCACAGACCGGGCCGCGGGGGCGTTGACCCCCGAAACTCTCTCCAGGTAAACTCCAGGTAAACTCCAGGTTATACACACCAACACATGTTATACACACCAACACATGTTATACACACCAACAACACATGTTATACACACCAACACTACATGTTATACACACCAACACTACATGTTATACGCACCAACACTACCTGTTATATGCACGTTCACACACATGTACCATGCGTGAGACACCTGCACTACACGTTATATATACATGTTATACAAATGTTGTGGAAAATTTTGAATTTTCCGTGTGAATAATGACTCTTTTGTAAGGGGAGGGGGAAAGGGCTGGTGACGTATTGCGACGTTGCCAGATCTCCACCCTAAACCTTGATTATACGGTTAATTAGACGTAAGACATATGTAAGCTAGTGCCTAGTCTAAGAATATAGTTAGACAGTTAAGTTATGCTAGGAATATAAGTGTAAGGAGCTAAATATCGACAGTGTTGTGCTCTGTAGGCCTACAAAGTTGACGCCATCTGTGCCATGCTCCGTAGAGGCATGACACAGATGGTGCCATGCTAAGCAAGATCTTGATAGTACAAAATTGTCACTGCTTCCAAGAATGTGCTCAGTTCTTCCCGTAATTCCAGAACACATGACTATCCTTCACTATTTATTTTGCATGCACTGAGGTAGAGGAGGCTCGGCTTAGGGAATTTAGGGATACCTGTCTCAAATCGCACTGTGACTAAAATATTTGTAGTTTTCTGTCCTTTTTTCTTTCAGTTTTTATTTTCTTTCACTCAACTCGAGACCCCATCATCCTAGTGCACTGAGGAATAAAACATCACAATAACACAGCTGGAACAATACTCAAATAACCCGCACTTACAAAGACTGAAACTTATTATGTTATAGTCCAATTTATCCCATTAAAATATCGCACTGTAGAAAGAAAGAAAGTCAGAATATATACAGGAGGGAGGTGGAGGGAAGTGATAAAATGGGAGGATGTAGTAAGATTAGATTTTCTTAGTATTTTTAGCCGAAGGGTTAGCCACCCAGGATAACCCAAGTAGAGCAGTGTGTTATCGAGGGACTGTCTGCCTTATTTACACTGGGGTCCTCAATCTTTTCCCCCAGGATGCGACCCACATCAGTCGACTAACACCTAGGTACCTACTTGCTAGGTGAATAGGACACCAGGTATAAGGAAAAGCGTCGAAATGTTTTCACCCCGCCCGGAATCAAACCCGGACCCTCAGCATGTGAAGCGAGAGCTTTGCCAGCCAGGCCACGGGATGTGACACTAGTAAGGATGTGAAACTAATGAGGAGAATACACATAAGCGAGGACCAAGAAAGACTACAACCAAACCTGGACAGGCCGTAGGTCTGGTCCGATAAGTGACTACTGGAATTTAACGCTAGTAAGTGCAAGATTTTTAAGATTTTGAAAGAGCAGAGAAGACCACAGATGGAATACAGACTCTTAGGGCAAAGACTTGAAACCTCACTCAGGGAGAAGGATCTCGGGGTGAGTATTGCACCAAGCATATCTCCTGTGGGGCACATCATCTAAATAAATGCTGCAGCAAATTTAAGACCAGCTCTTAGAAATCTAAGCAAGGTGTCATTCGCGAACTGTTGTTAGTTAGTTTAATATGTTTATTATGCACCCCATACCCATCCTGTGGGCGGTAGTCAAAAGATTACAGAGGTACATAATGGGTCCAGGGACTGGGCCTCAAAGTTTTGATAGCTGAGCAAGTTACAGAGGTAATGAATTCACAATTTACAAAGGTAATGAACTCCAGGTAGGTCTAGTCACAATCATGACAAGTTACAAAGGTATTTACAGATTACAGAGGTACACAATGGGTCCAGGGACCGGGCTCCAAAGTTTTGATGGCTGAACTAGGTACAAGGTAATGAACTCACAAGTTACAAAGGTAATGAACTCACAAGTTACAAAGGTAATGAATACTGTAAGAACTGTATATGGTATATGTCAGTCCCATATGGACTGCAGCACCAGTATGGAATCCACACTTCGTCAAGAATGTCAAGAAATTAGAGAAAGCGTAGAGGTTTGCAACAAGACTAGTCCCGGAGCTAAGGGGGTATTTCCTATGAGGAGAGGTTAAGAAAACTCAACCTAATGATAAAATAGGATAGAAGGACGAGGGGCGATGTGATAACAATGTACAAAATACTGGAGAGGCACATTTTGTTCACAGACAGGAAACAAGGACGCGAGAGAACTGCTGGAAGTTCAAAACACAGATGAGTCACGGGAGTCATTTGTGTTTCTTTCTCATCAGTTGCTCTGCAGTTGTATTCCTGGCTCACCTCTTCTGTGTTGCATGTGTGTGTTTCTTATCGGCCTTTTATCCCCCTGTGTGCCATACAGTACTTCTCTTATTTCTTCATTTTCCCAACTCTTACATTAATCTGGTAACTTCTCCAGGAAGGATTTGCTTGTGTGTGCTTCTCTTAGAAAATGTAAAAAATCACTAGTTCTAGATAGAGACGCGCAGAGTTCAAGATGTATGTTATTATTATGATAATAGTATACATTACCGACAAGTTGATAAAATATGTAACAGTTAGGTATCTTTATTCCTAAAGTGTAGACGAAACGTTCAGGAATAAAGTTACCTAACTTCTGCGCATGTGTCTTATTTATCATGTATGTTCTGGCTGACCAACAAATACATACCCTTCCAGAAAAAAAAATGAGTCAGCATGACATGAGTAGAGAAGTATTCTCCCAGACAGTGATGAGAGAGGTGTTGGCTCGATGATGTCCGGCCAGAAAAAGAGAATAAAGCAGTGACTGCAGTATGAGGTCAGATACTCCCTTGACTTGTCTTGTGTCCCAGAAGGTATAGAAGTGAATGAACAATTTAACAGCAATTTACCTATAAACGTAGCTAAATCTATGAAAATAATGCTGTAAAACATTAACTTTTTTGTTTTAGTTATTGACGAAATTATTTTCTGAAGGCGCTACACTGCACTAGAATATTATAACCACCCTCCGGTATTCCTCTTTACATTTATTAAGGTAGAGGAGGGGTGACCTATGGAATACTGGGATACGTTTCCCGGGTCGTGGAGCGACCATAATACATATACTTGAATTTACAGACTAAGAGCAGTTACTTAACATTAACTAATTTCGAAGCCCAACCTTATTTAAGATATGTCACGACCCACTAAGCTGCTACCTGCGTCAGTAGCCTAATACAATTACCAATTGAGTGACAGATGAAGATGGGCAACAGGTGTAATGAAACTGACCCATACTTCTCTACCTTATCATGGTTCTGGACGACCCGAAACTAATTTTATGTCCACCTTGCGGGTTACTTGCGAGGTGGTCAGTAAAGTGTTGGAAGTGAGTGAGCAGACAATCAAGAGAGAGGCCTAGTCTGCCACTAACTTACGGGGACCAAGCATCCCACAGACACCCACATGAACAAATATATATATAACAGGTCAACTCACCTCAGCGACTATCTTTCCATTTTGAAGGTTGAAGATCCTGAGATGACCAGAGAGGTAGCCGGCCAGCACCTGGCCCTCCCAGGCGGCCAGGCACGTCACTGCACACCTGAACAACAACAGCAGAAACTCACACTAATTATCTAAGCTCACTCTGCACTTACTGTTGTGTCTCACACGTCTGACCTCATATAAAATATAGATCCTGTAGTATTAATTAAACTGAAACACATTTCTAATGCTGATTTTACGTATTTTAGTATTTAAACACCTATACCAAGAGTATACCTGGAGGGTGTTTTGGGGGACAAAGCCCCCGCGGCTCTTCCAATGACCAGGCCTCGCGGTGGATCAGAGCTTGATCAACCAGACTGTTACTGCTGGCCGCACGGAAACTGATGTAAGAACCACAGCCCGGCTGGTCAACTACTGACTTTAGGTGACTCTCCAGCACCTTGAAGACAGCCAGGGCCTAATGGTAATCCCTCTTATGTATGCTGGGAGGCAGCTGAACAGTCTTGGTCCCCTGACAATAGTAGTAGGGAAGGTGGCTCAGCGGTCTCTCAAAGGATGCCGCCTTTTCGCACCAAGATGTGAAATTTCGCACCTATATGATAATGACCCTTCCGGTCCCACGCCACGCCGACCCTCGCCCGCGCGCCCTCACCTTCTACAACACCTGCCGCGTCCGTCGGATCGGCCCCGCTCCCCGAATTTTTTTTCGATTTTTTTTTAATTTCATTTTCTTGTGCTCCCCAGCTCCTTGGATCAAGATTTACCCTCCATCTCCCCCACACCTCCCGCCACCACTTCCATCTCCCATACCCTCTATGCCCAAATACAGCGCTGTATAGCCCTTGTGGGTTAGCGCTTCTTTTTTATTATAATAATAATAATAATATGCCCAAATATTCCTGCTCCACTTCCTTAGATCAAGATCTCCCTCTCCATCCCCCCAAAAATATTTGAGATTTTTTCCATTTTCATGTATTCTCCATCTCCTTGGATCAAGATTTATCCTCCCCATCCCCCCAAATATTTTCGATTTTTTTTTCCATTTTCTTGTATTCTCCATCTCCTCGGATCAAGGTTTACCCTCCATCTCCCTCCCAACACCTCCCACCATCCACTCCTATCTCCCCAATATTCATGTTCCACTTCCTCGGATCAAGACCTCCTTCTCCCTCCCCCCTCCCCCCACCCTCTAAACCGAATATTCCTGATCCATTTCCTCGGAAAAAGATTTACCCTCCACTTCCTAGGATCAAGAACACTACCATCACCCTCTAAATCCACTATTCCTGCTCTATCTCCTCAGATCAGATTTAGCCCTTCCTCCTTGATCAAATTTTTGGCCCTCCCTATGCGTCTATACAAGTAACTTCCTCTTGAACGAATAACATGTTGACGCCACCCCACCTGTGTTACTCAGCGTCAATGTACGGCACATGTATGCAGTCACCCCACCTGTGTTTACTCAGCGGTCAATGACGTCACATGTATGACGTCACCCCACCTGTGTTTACTCAGCGGTCAATGACGTCACATGATAACCACCCATGACCTCACACAGTAACTTCCTCCTTAATTAAATGACTGTAAATGAAGTAAAATATATGTAAACAACTTAATTACCCCACAATATTTTCCTTCATTTATTTTCCATTTTATGTAATACATTTTCTTCATTACATAAATTCTCAATAATACACATTTTCATATACAACAAATTTCTGGTGATACCCACAACTTCCCACAACAATCTACAATTTTTTACATAATACAACAAAAGATTCACTTATCATGAATTAAGATTTCAGTTCTATAACCTCCACTCTCTACACCATACAACTCTCCTCAAAAGCCATAAATGAAATCGAAAGAAACCCAAAGTATTTCTTTTCTTATGCCAAATCAAAGTCGAGAACAACATCCAGTATTGGGCCGCTACTTAACCTCAAGCGCTCCCAGTAATTGAGGTGTTTTATCTCCGTTATGCGCGCCGTGAAGGTTCTCTGTACATTTTCTAGGTCAGCAATTTCACCTGCCTTGAAAGTTGCTATTAGTGTGCAGCAATATTCCAGCCTAGATAGAACAAGCGACCTGAAGAGTGTCATCATGGGCTTGGCATCCCTAGTTTTGAAGGTTCTCATTATCCATCCTGCCATTTTTCTAGCAGATGCGATTGATACAATGTTATGGTCCTTGAAGGTGAGATCCTCCGACATGATCACTCCCAGGTCTTTGACGTTGGTTTTCCGCTCAATTTTGTGGCCAGAATTTGTTTTATCCTCTGATGAAGATTTAATTTCCTCATGTTTACCATATCGGAGTAATTGAAATTTCTCATCGTTGAACTTCATATTGTTTTCTGCAGCCCACTGAAAGATTTGGTTGATGTCCGCCTGGAGCCTTGCAGTGTCTGCAATGGAAGACACTGTCATGCAGATTCGGGTGTCATCTGCAAAGGAAGACACGGTGCTGTGGCTGACATCCTTGTCTATATCAGATATAAGGATGAGAAACAAGATGGGAGCAAGTACTGTGCCTCGTGGAACAGAGCTTTCCACCGTAGCCGCCTCAGACTTTACTCTGTTGACTAGTACTCTTTGTGTTCTGTTTGTGAGGAAATTACAGATCCATTTACCAACATTTCCTGTTATTCCTTTAGCACGCATTTTGTGCGCTATTACGCCATACCTGGAGTTTACCTGGAGAGAGTTCCGGGGGTCAACGCCCCCGCGGCCCGGTCTGTGACCAGGCCTCCTGGTGGATCAGAGCCTGATCAACCAGGCTGTTACTGCTGGCTGCACGCAAACCAACGTACGAGCCACAGCCCGGCTGGTCAGGAACCGACTTTAGGTGCTTGTCCAGTGCCAGCTTGAAGACTGCCAGGGGTCTGTTGGTAATCCCCCTTATGTATGCTGGGAGGCAGTTGAACAGTCTCGGGCCCCTGACACTTATTTTATGGTCTCTTAACGTGCTAGTGACACCCCTGCTTTTCATTGGGGGGATGTTGCATCGTCTGCCAAGTCTTTTGCTTTCGTAGTGAGTTATTTTCGTGTACAAGTTCGGTACTAGTCCCTCTAGGATTTTCCAGGTGTATATAATCATGTATCTCTCCCGCCTGCGTTCCAGGGAATACAGGTTTAGGAACCTCAAGTGCTCCCAGTAATTGAGGTGTTTTATCTCCGTTATGCGCGCCGTGAAGGTTCTCTGTACATTTTGTAGGTCAGCAATTTCACCTGCCTTGAAAGGTGCTGTTAGTGTGCAGCAATATTTCAGCCTAGATAGAACAAGTGACCTGAAGAGTGTCATCATGGGCTTGGCCTCCCTAGTTTTGAAGGTTCTCATTATCCATCCTGTCATTTTTCTAGCAGATGGGATTGATACAATGTTATGGTCCTTGAAGGTGAGATCCTCCGACAGGATCACTCCCAGGTCTTTGACGGTGTTTCGCTCTATTTTGTGGCCAGAATTTGTTTTGTACTCTGATGAAGATTTAATTTCCTCATGTTTACCATATCTGAGTAATTGAAATTTCTCATCGTTGAACTTCATATTGTTTTCTGCAGCCCACTGAAAGATTTGGTTGATGTCCGCCTGGAGCCTTGCAGTGTCTGCAATGGAAGACACTGTCATGCAGATTCGAAGGCTTTTGCAAAGTCTGTATATATTACATCTGCATTCTCTTTGTCTTCTAGTGCATCTAGGACCTTGTCGTAGTGATCCAGTAGTTGGGACAGACAGGAGCGACCTGCTCTAAACCCATGTTGCCCTGGGTTGTGTAACTGATGGGTATCTAGATGGGTGGCGATCTTGCTTCTTAGGACCCTTTCAAAGATTTTTATGATATGGGATGTTAGTGCTATCGGTCTGTAGTTCTTTGCTATTGCTTTACTGCCCCCTTTGTGGAGTGGGGCTATGTCTGTTGATTTTTAGTAAATGTGGGACGACCCCCGTGTCCATGCTCCCTCTCCATAGGATGGTAAAAGCTCGTGATAGGGGCTTCTTGCAGTTCTTGATGAACACGGGTTCCAAGAGTCTGGCCCTGGGGCAGAGTGCATGGGCATGTCATTTATCGCCTGTTTGAAGTCATTTGGCGTCAGGATAACATCAGATAGGCTTGTGTTTGCCAAATTCTGTGGCTCTCTCATAAAAAATTAATTTTGATCTTCAACTCTCAGTCTGGTTAGCGGCTTGCTAAAAACTGAGTCATATTGGGACTTGAGTAGCTCACTTATTTCCTTGCTGTCATCTGTGTAGGATGCATGTTGTTTAAGTAGGGGCACAATACTGGATGTTGTTTTTGACTTTGATTTGGGATAAGAAAAGAAATACTTTGGATTTCTTTCAATTTCATTTATGGCTTTTAGTTCTTCCCGCGATTCCTGACTCCTATATGATTCCTTTAGCTTAAGTTCGACGTTTGCTATTTCTCTGACCAGTGTCTCCCTACGCATTTCAGATATATTGGCCTCTTTTAGCCGCTCTGTTATTCTTTTCCGTGGCCTGGGGAGGGAGCACCTATCTCTTTCTATTTTACAAATACTCCTCCTTTTTCTTAAAGAAATAAGCTTTGAGCATACATCGAGTGCCACCGAGTTAATCTGTTCAAGGCATAAGTTAGGGTCTGTGTTGCATAGTCTATCTTCCCAGCTTATATAGTTTAGGACTTGGTTTACTTGGTCCCACCATACCCCGGCCGGGATTGAACCCGCGGTCAGAGAGTCTCAAAACTCCAGACCGTCGCGTTAGCCACTAGACCAGCTAGCCACAATAAGATTCGTCCAACTAGGTATATTTCTACACCATAGGAAGGTTAGCATAGGCACCACTGTGACCACAAATGCAAGTTTTTACAGACGAATCTCCAGAGGGGACTTGAGCTAGAGTTCGTCACGGCCACGCTAGCTGGAGATTCGTCTGTAAAAACTTGCATTTGTAGTCACAGTGGTGCCTATGCTAACCTTCCTATGGTGTAGAAATATACCTAGTTGGACGAATCTTATTGTGGCTAGCTGGTCCAGTGGCTAACGCGATGGTCTGGAGTTTTGAGATTCTCAGATCGCGGGTTCTATCCCCGCCCGTGGTATGGCTTATATAACCTCAGCCAGGTTTCTAAATTACTAGAAGTGTTTGATGTCTCTCAAAGTGTACACCCTAGAATGTAGGCGAGAAAGATACATCATAAACTCACCAAGAAGATTCTAGAGGGATTGATTTCGAACTAGCGAACCCAAGTCACTCCACGTGAAAGCAGGAGGCTTGCCAGAATATGCATGATACATCCTATGAAGTATCTCTCTTAGAGAGAACCCAGTAAATGTCAAGGGACCACGACTCTTCATCATCCTCCCCTCGTGCATTAGGGAAATTACCAACAAACCTGTGGCCGTCTTCAAGACCGAATTCGATAAGTTCGTGAAGGCAGCTCCTGGTCAGCCGGGCTGTGACTCATACATAGAACTGCAGATGGCGGCCACCAATAGCCTAATCGATTAAGCCAGCAACCAGAAGACCTAGTCTGAAACCGTGCCGCAGGGGAAGGGGGATGGTAACTCTTAGAAATGACTCCAGATACGCTACAAGCAATAAGCTATAATTGTTACAATAAAACGTACAGTGATAGACACACTGGTCCACGGCAGTGACGAGGATGTACCTTCATCAAGCAAGTTATAATGGTAATGAGTTGTTTATAGTAGGTAAAGTGGAGTGATTTCCCAGAGGTTTACCTAGTGCTGTTACACACTTCTCTGGGAAGACACACAAAGTGTGACTTAGTTCACACACAAAAGTCAAAGTCAACACAGCGAGTAGATGACAAGTGCTTGAGTCTGGCCAGACCTTGAAATATGTGTACCAGAGCTAACATGTGTACCAGTTAACATGTGTACCAGAGTTAACACGTGTACCAGAGTTAACATGTGTATCAGAGTTAAGATGTGTACCCGAGTTAGTAAGTAAGTTTATTCAGATATACACAAATACATTTAAATAGATTATCATACATAGCAGCATATGTGTAGAGAACCTGGAATAACCCAAAACAGTCGGACAGTGACTTATTTCCATTGAGGTCCTTTCGTTCCTTATCAATAATATTACATTAATATAAAAATCAAATGTAGCTGATAAGAAATTATATAAAAATGGCACAAAAATTATATAAAATATTGAATAGATGACAAAGATAAAATAAGCAGAACACAATAATTATAACAATATATAAAAACAATATGAAGAACACAATATTGTTATAGATTTCGCTCTGAGAATCAATAATATTTATAAATCTGTTGGAATCGCAGAAACACGCAAAAGGAATAAATTATAGAATGGCTAGTAAAATTATGAATAATCACTGAAAAACAATGGAAAATAGAAGACGATGAATATATATATCAGAAATTAATAATCATCTGTAGGGAATGCATTCATTGCCCTAATAACAGGTGTTGCTAGGGTCTTGTCCCTCCTTGGTGGGACAGCCAGACAGCCAGTGCCAGATAACAGTAGGTTGTGTCAGGATTTGTTGTTTGCAGGAGTATCGTTGACTTTCTTCAAGAGGTCAGCGAATTTGCTAGCAGCTTGAGGGCGAGCTGCTTTTTGGGGGTGTGTCAGCGTCCTGATGGACCTTAATTTTATTGCAGATTTTAGGTCATCTGTAGAGGTGAAGTCGCGGTAGCTGTCAGCTGTCTGCTGGGAGGGGCTGTTGGTTCTTCCCACTTGGAGCTCTCCGGGAGCTTAGACATCCATTGTGTGCACGGATGTTGAGATTTGAGGGACTGAGTGCACTGAGTTAACATGTGTACCAGAGTTAACATGTGTACCAGAGTTAACATGTGTACCAGAGTTAACATGTGCACCAGAGTTAACATGTACCAGAGTTAACATGTGTACCAGAGTTAACATATGTACCAGAGTTAACATGTGTACCAGAGTTAACATGTGTACCAGAGTTAACATGTGTACCAGAGTTAACATGTGTACCAGAGTTAACATGTGTACCAGAGTTAACATGTGTACCAGAGTTAACGTGTGTACCAGAGTTAACATGTGCACCAGAGTTAACATATGTACCAGAGTTAACATGTGCGCCAGAGTTAACATATGTACCAGAGTTAACATGTGTACCAGAGTTAACATGTGTACCAGAATTAACAGTACAAAAGTTAAATAATAATCTTTGTGATGAGAGAAGAGGAAACAAGATTTAAACAAAATATATAAGAAAGAGGTGTTAGTGATGATGACAAGTTTAGTTTGGAGAGATCTAACAACATTCACTTACCCATAAGAGTCCACGGAGTAAAGCTTGGTAAGACCATTGTTGTCCTGAGCCACGCTGATGTCACCACCATCATCACCACTCACCAACAGGGAACCGTGGGCGGCCAGAGCAGTGATGGGACGGGCGTGCCACCTGACCTTCTCCACAGCACTCACCTCCACCCCTTCACCCACACACATCACCAGGATCTCACCTGTGTGCACGCCTGTCACGCCACAATGCATATATTACCACTTCTTGTTAGTAAGTTGATTTAGGTACACGTACATATAAGTACAATTATCAAGGATAACCCCTAAAAATAGTGAGACACTGACTTATTTCCAGTGGGGTCCTTGTAATATCTTATTAAGAATATAAGAAAGGAGTAACACTTCATTAGGCCTGCTGGCCCATACTAGGCAGGGCCTTCAAAGTTAGAACAGCTAAGTAACTCAACTGTGTGAAAATCAGCTACAATAAAAGGAGATACAGTAGGAATAAAGTAAATTTAGTTATTTATATTAACATTAAAGAAAGGATCAGTTTAAAATAATATAATATCTTTATTTCTACAAGTACATGTACAAGGTATACAGACCATAGTTGACATCACTGATATACTACTATATAGAAAGTCGCTTGTTATGCAGAGCATTTCCCGTAAATTAGGTCAATTTTGTCCCAGGATGCGACCCATACCAGTCGACTAACACCCAGGTACCCATTTTACTGATGGGGAACATAGACAACAAATGTAAAAAAAAACACGCCCAATGTTTCTACCCTCGCCGGGAATCGAACACAGCCTCTCTCCGTGTGAAGCGAGAGCTTTAGCTACCAGTCTGGTACATAACAATTTTTGCATATATTGACAAATTTCTTTCTACAGACGCTTCAACTCTTCTGCTACTTTTTTCTTTCTCTTATTCTTCGATTATTTATTTCATACATTCATTTGCTGATACATCCACTCGTAAATGTTTAAATACATTTCTTTCCCTCTTATCTAGGCGACTCTCGAACTTGTTTTTCTATGTCTACTAGAAGCTGTCTTCTTTTACATACCCTCCTAAACTAGCAAATTTCCTAAATTTGCTTATAATAGATAAGTGAACTGTAGATATGTAGATATAAATCCATATGTACACCTGTTAACTCTTTTGGGGCCTAGTTCCTGGGCCTTTTGTGTGTCCATATGCTCTTGCGCTGCCGTCCACAGGATGGACATAGAGTGCACAATAAACTAGCCACTTCCTGGAGTTTACCTGGAGAGAGTTCCGGGGGTCAACGCCCCCGCGGCCCGGTCTGTGACCAGGCCTCCTGATGGATCAGAGCCTGATCAGCCAGGCTGTTACTGCTGGCTGCACGCAAACCAACGTACGAGCCACAGCCCGGCTGGTCAGGAACCGACTTTAGGTGCTTGTCCAGTGCCAGCTTGAAGACTGCCAGGGGTCTCTTGGTAATCCCCCTTATGTATGCTGGGAGGCAGTTGAACAGTCTCGGGCCCCTGACACTTATTGTATGGTCTCTTAACGTGCTAGTGACACCCCTGCTTTTCATTGGGGGGATGTTGCATCGTCTGCCAAGTCTTTTGCTTTCGTAGTGAGTGATTTTCGTGTGCAAGTTCGGTACTAGTCCCTCTAGGATTTTCCAGGTGTATATAATCATGTATCTCTCCCGCCTGCGTTCCAGGGAATACAGGTTTAGGAACCTCAAGCGCTCCCAGTAATTGAGGTGTTTTATCTCCGTTATTCGGTGGCAAAATCTAAAAATCTAATCCTAAACTACAACAACCTCTGCAACTTAAGCATCTCCCAAACGCAATAAGTCATCACCAAAAAGAAACAGTGCCAATACTACTATACAGCAGATTCATTATGTTACAAGATCACACCTCTCCCCAACAATGACATTCACGTCGTTGACACCACACACGTCTTTACCATCTGCTAGTTGCAATCCTCTGTCCCACAGAACTGCAAATCCAGTTCACTTTTTGTGTCCTAATTTTACTTCAGGTAAACTCCAGTCTTTTTCAGGTCCTTTGTTCTTGGGTCTAAGTTCAGAGTAACGTAACAGTACAGTGAGTTTCATACTTTCATGAACGTAAAACAAGTTGTGGACAATGGGTCATATGACATTGTTTACACAAATGAAAACAAGAATCTAAGTTGCATTTAAAAATGAAGGATTCTCATTTTCACAGGCTAATTATTTTATGAATACCCAAAAAATATTTAAAAAATTCATATGAACAATAAAAAGTAACAATGAGCTTACCAACACAAATGTATCCGGTGGAGAGGGCAGTAATACCCTTAGTGAAGGAGAAGGGTATGTCTGGTGGCGGGCAGGGCAGGAGGTGAGAGTGAAGAAGCACTGAGCCATCCCAGTCATACATAAGAACACCTTGTGTAGTGGCCAACACCAGCAACACTTGACCACGCACTTCAACCCACGATGCCTGCAAAAATCAACGTTTACCTCTTGTGTTAATTGTTGTTTTAACATTTTTAGGCCATTTAGATATAACAAGCTCATTCATATCTGCTTGATGCCCATGCCTCTATTTCTCATAAACCTCCTTCACATCCTATGTTCAGTCGATTTTTAGACATCACCTATAGGGATTACACCTTCCATCCGACACATTTATATCTTCACTTTCTTAATTACACTACCATGCTCCATCCCAACAACTCCTTTCTTTGAGCGTGGGAAAGTACATTTTCGAGGCATTGGCTAATCTAATAGAAATTACATTTGACTGAGCGAGGAAGAGAACTGTACTGTTCTACATAGTTCCTGTAATTACTGTCTGTCAAGACGGATATTTGAAGCTGGTGTAGAAAAAAATCTCCAGTAAAAGGGGGAGGGGATCTCTCAGCCCTCTGAGGGACTTAGCCCTCTCACTACGATGTGAGAGGGCTAAGTCCCTTATATCGTATATTGCGGCTACCGCCCACATGATGGGTATATTGTGGCTTCCACCCACAGGATGGGTGTTGTGTCAGGGGCCCAAGACTGTTCAACTGCCTCCCAGCATCCATAAGGGGGATTACCAATAAACCCCTGTCTGTCTTCAAGAAGGCACTGGACAGGCATCTAAAGTCAGTACCAGACCAGCCGGGCTGTGGTTCGTACATCGGATCAGACCCTGATACACCATGAGGCCTGGTCACAGACCGGACCGCGGGGGCATTGACCCCGAAACTCTCTCCAGGTATACTCCAGATATACCAACCACAGGATAGGTATATTGTGACTACCACCCACAAGATAGGTATAAGGGTTCCCAGACGCGGTGAGAATCTATTGATTCAAGGAAGTGGAGGTGACCTTCCAAGGCTGGACCCACATTTCCTCTCATTCAAGTAGTCACTATATTACACTTCCGGGTTTTGCGTTCCTCATAAATGTAATAATAATAATTTTTGTATTTCGGTCGCTGCGAGATCCCAGAGAGATATTCCCGTATTGCCTAACCTGGAAAATCCTAGAGGGACTAGTACCGAACTTGCACACGAAAATCACTCACTACGAAAGCAAAAGACTTGGCAGACGATGCAACATCCCCCCAATGAAAAGCAGGGGTGTCACTAGCACGTTAAGAGACCATACAATAAGTGTCAGGGGCCCGAGACTGTTCAACTGCCTCCCAGCATACATAAGGGGGATTACCAACAGACCCCTGGCAGTCTTCAAGCTGGCACTGGACAAGCACCTAAAGTCAGTTCCTGATCAGCCGGGCTGTGGCTCGTACGTTGGTTTGCGTGCAGCCAGCAGCAACAGCCTGGTTGATCAGGCTCTGATCCACCAGGAGGCCTGGTCACAGACCGGGCCGCGGGGGCGTTGACCCCCGGAACTCTCTCCAGGTAAACTCCAGGTAACCCCAGCCCCTTGTACAGCAATGCTCGCTAACGGAACAGTGCAGAATGCGGCAAAGGTTTCTAATGCAGTTAAATATCAACGCTGAAGATTTAAAGCGAACCAGAAAATGTATCCACACTAATTCAAACCTTCCACTAAGAAACATCAGATCTGAAACCAAACTGAGAGTAATTCTCTTGTTGTCTCAAATCAGTATCTAAAATACACCAGTACATTAAGTTTGAAGCCGCTCGGAATCTATCAAAAAAAGGCTTTCTCAAGTAATTGCTCTGAATCCAACGATTCTAAGTCTTTTAAAAAATATCATTAAAATTTCCACTTTTCATGCAGATAGTCTAAATTTGTATTGTTTCTTCCTTCTTATGGAATGAGGAATAAAAAGTGGCAATACTGTGACTGCAACACTGAACAACTATGTCGCAGTCAGCAGAGAGAAACTTATGACTTGTTAATGTTGCAAGTGGCACTCAGACGTCTTCATGAGATAATGTTGCAAGTGGCACTCAGACGTCTTCATGAGATAATGTTGCAAGTGGCACTCAGACGTCTTCATGAGATAATGTTGCAAGTGGCACTCAGACGTCTTCATGAGATAATGTTGCAAGTGGCACTCAGACGTCTTCATAATAATGTTGCAAGTGGCACTCAGACGTCCTTCATGAGATATTTTGCAAGTGGCCACTCAGACGTCTTCATTTAGATAATTGCAAGGCACTCATACGTCTTCATGAGATTAATGTTGCAAGTGACAACTCAGACCATCATGAATTAATGTTGCAAGTGGCACTCAAGTCTTCATGAGATAATGTTGCAAGTGGACACTCAGAGTCTTCATGAGATAATGTTGCAAGTGGACTCAGACGTTTCATGTAGATAATGTTGCAAGTGGCATCAGACGTCTTCATGAGATAATGTTGCAAGTGGCACTCAGACGTCTTCATGAGATAATGTTGCAAGTGGCATAGAGTCCTTCATGAGATTAATGTTGAAGTGACACTCAGCGTCTTTCATGAGATAATGTTGCAAGTGGCACTCAGACTGTTTTCATGAGATAATGTTGCAAGTGGCACTCAGACGTCTTCTGAGATAATGTTGCAAGTGGTCACTCAGACGTCTTCATGAGAAATGTGCAAGTGGACTCAGTGGTACGTCTTCATGAGATAATGGCAAGTGCAGTCAGACGTCTCATGAGTAAGTTGCAATGTGTCACTTCAGACGTCTTCATGAGATAATGTTGCAGTACACTCAGACGTCTTCATGAGATATGTTGCAATGTGGCACTCAGAGTCCTTCATGAGATAATGTTGCAGAGTGGCACTACAGACTTCTTATAGATAATGTTGCAAGTGCACTCAGACGTCTTCATGAGTAATTTGTCAAGTGCATCAGATTCTTCATGAGATAATGTGCAAGTGGCATCAGAGTTATCAATGAGATCATGTTGCACGAGTGACACTCAGACTCTTCATAGAGTATAAGTTGCAAGTGCACTTCAGAGGTCTTCATGATGGATCTCTCCTGAGTGGGGTATGTCTCTGATGGAATGATAAATCAGTTTAATATTTTGAAGCCAAGAAAAAGATATCATTCTTATTTATTAAATGCAAATATTCACTATTCATTAGTAAAACTGTCAAATTGGGAATTTTGGAGCCCAATAACAATGCTAACTTTGCTTTGTGGAAAACACACAAGGGTTAACAACTTGATGTTAATTAGTAGTAACATTCTTCAGTCATCCGACGAATTCTAACCACTTCAGAATTTATAAGAAACAGTTTGTGGAAAATATTGTGTAATTTTCCCAAAATTATATTGTATAATTTTTATGATGTAAATACGTAATTACTGCGCTGCTGTTGGTCTAAAATATATTTGAAAGTGAAAGAGAACCATGCGCATGCGCCGGGTCGGAGAGGGTAGACCTAGGCAGAATAACGGTCGCGTGGGTATGCCAAAATGGCAAGTAAGTAAGTAAGTAAGTAAATTTATTCAGGTATACACAATACAGTTACATAGAATTATCATACATAGCAGCATATGTGTAGAGAACCTAGGATAACCCAAAAAAGTCAGACAGAGTGACTTATTTCCATTGGGGTCCTTTTACCTTATTATTATAATATAAAGGTTATAATATTTTCTTATTATTCTATAATGAAGATAACATCTTATTATCATACTAAAAAGACTATCTACTACACAAGGGTCATTAAGACTATCTACAATACGAGGGTCATTAAGACTATCTACTACCCGAGGGTCATTACGACTATCTACAATACGAGGGTCATTACTAGGGATAAGGTAAAATTTACACGTATTTTAGCTAAAAAATAGAAAATCATTCCCCTCCCTTTCTGTTGCTTCATTCATCAGACACTTCTTGGCAGTCTTCTTGAACTGGTTCAAGCTATGGCGTGGGTGTCTGGTCAAAATGGGACCAGGGAATTGACGTTCACAGCTGCCTAAAGGATTAATATAGGCCTCACTTCATAATAGGAATGTAACTGTTCCTGGTGAAGAGTGAGGGACCGTGAAAACAGTAAATAATGGGGGACGCCGAGCCGGGAACCACGCGACGCGCCATGCCATGACGAGTGTTTGGGAGGAAAATACCTGTCGATTCAATCATCACTCATCGGGCTTAGATCTTAATGGATCAACTTCTAACTGGTGTAAATTAATGGGACATTAAGTCGCTTTGTGAACTGAGGGAGAGGTAATGATAATGACTTTAGTTTAAGGGAATATGTGAAGTGAAACGAGTCGCCATTCCCCAAGTGAGCAAATGTTAAACTCACGGCCCTGTCCCAAGGACCACGGAGTTTTTACGGAGTCTCGTCTAAATCGGGACAACCCAAGTGATATCATAGTCCTGCTGGAAGAAGACCCGCATCGATTTGGCAGGACATCTAAGTCAGAGGAGGAAATAAAGAAAGACAAGGAATGTTGCCTCCTCGCCCACAGTTAAGTAAACCTTCTTATTATATAAGACTCATAACTGGCCAGTTAGGTGTTATAATAGGACAGATACTATGGGCACTAACAAGATCTCCAGTGACCACCAATAAAATTGGGTAAGTGGTGATTTCATTATGTTAAAACATGTAACCCCTTCCCCCTTCTAATCCGTCCAGTTTATCCATACAGTCCACAACTAACGGTAATGCCATGCCTATTGGTGTTATCCAACCTTAATCTATAATACTGGACCAGAATAGATGTGCCTAGTGCGTGTGGCATCGTTAGTTTAATATGTTTATTATGCACCCCATACCCATCCTGTAGGTAGTAGTCAAAAGATTACAGAGGACTTTCACGGCGCGCATAACGGAGATAAAACACCTCAATTACTGGGAGCGCTTGAGGTTCCTAAACCTGTATTCCCTGGAACGCAGGCGGGAGAGATACATGATTATATACACCTGGAAAATCCTAGAGGGACTAGTACCGAACTTGCACACGAAAATCACTCACTACAAAAGCAAAAGACTTGGCAGACGATGCACCATCCCCCCAATGAAAAGCAGGGGTGTCACTAGCACGTTAAGAGACCATACAATAAGTGTC